CCCTGCACCTGCAGTCAATCCCACCTGGCTTTCACTCCTGTTCAGGACCCTGTCAACTAGGGTCTCGAGCCTAGACCTATCACTAAGCTGTCACTACAGGACTTCAACGCTGATCAGGAGGCATTTAAAGAGATCCCCCATAACTCAAGAATTGTTTAACGTTGCAAACAGGACGATGTGATCAGCAAGTCCTCTCAACACTTAGACAGCTGGTTGTGCAGCCCACAGCTCGGATTTTGGGCCTATCATCCCACACTGAGCAGCCCAACAGTCTGTACCGGTCCTTGGGAGGGTTTGTCCTCCGTGTCAGTCAGTTGTGTGGGTTTGGTCAACACAGCTCTATGACCTCATACACGGAGTTCCTATCACCTGGACAGAAGAGACTGAATGCAGAAAGAAGGGACAGACAAACTCAGCAAGTACCATAGGGTGAGTGCACATCCATAGGGCGAGGACAGACAAACTCAGCAAGTACCATAGGGTGAGTGCACATCCATAGGGCGAGGGGATAGCTGGCGAGAGTATACCAACTCCAGCTTGGTCAATTTCGTGGTCAACAGCTCCAGTCAACGCCTTGGTCAACGCTTTGTCAATGCCTCGGTCAACCCTGGTCAACTCCCCAGTCAATGCCTCGGTAAACCCTGGTCAACTCCCCAGTCAATGCCTTGGTCCACCGTGGTCAACGCCTCAGTCAACGCTTTGGTCAACACCGGTTGACTTCCCGGTCAATGCTCAGCTCGGCTATCGCTGCCGACCCCTTCCTTTCTCACCAAAACTCTGATACTGTTCTTCTCCCTCCTTCCTTCTTCCTTCACCCCGGCTATGGCTTTCGTCTCCTTTGTCATCCCTCCTTCCTCTTCCTTGGTTATGGCTTCTCTCTCCTCCGTCTCTCCCTTCCCCAGGTCTTCTTTCTCCTTTGTTTACTCTGTGTCCAAGCTCGGCGGCTATGGCCGCCACTTCCTTCCTTGGACCGCACAACAATCTTGTATCGCTCCTCTCTCTCTCTCTCTCTCTCTCTCTCTCTCTCTGTGTCTGTCTAAGCACACTGGTGCTGAGTGTCCACACAACTCAGATACAAGCTCGCTTCAAGATGGCGATGGAGATTGCACGCCTTCACTTTACTTGTCCACTCAGGGTTTACATCCACTGTTTACACACATGACTCTGGACCTCCCTGGATATCCCACACGCACTCACACTGTACCTCAGTCACTCTCACTTACACCCTGGAACACATCTCTAACCTAAGGCGGCTATGGCCGCTCGCTACTACTAACACTGGACGCCATCTCCTTCTGTCAGCCCACTTCGACTTCGGGCATCTCTAGACCACCTCGCACAAGTCGCCTGGGCAGCGCTTCCCCATGGCTCATGCAGGAATGAATGACTGGCTGGACGCTGCCTCTTGATTTATACTTCTTTAAGTCGCTGGTCTGCCCTTTTCCACCGGGCCCATGGTTCACACAGTCCCTCATGGTGCTTGTTGACTGTACAAAGTGAGACTGGGACTGGGTACCGCCAAACGAAGTTGGACGCACCACTTGCCCACTTGCCTCTGGTCTGCTGTGAGTAACGTGAAAAGAACTCGAAAGGCCACTTCCGGACCTTCTGGAAGTCTGTGGACTTGGCCTTTCAGGACTGTAGCAGCTACGATCTTGACCTTCCAGGACTGTAGCAACTACGACCTTCACCTTTCAGAATTGCTACAGCTACGGCCTCTACACAACTATGACCCCTAGTCAACAGATCTACAGATCGAACCCCTACAGCTACACAGACCTACGACAAGCAGCAGTCAACTACCAAAACACAGGTCACGGGTTCAAACACACAGGGGTCGACTCGATACTGTACACGGGTGTGGTAAGGTCTAGTGATCGAGTGCTGGGATCTGCATCTGCTACTGCTAAGGTTCAAACCGTTTCATCCACCAGAATTTAGACTAGGAAAGGACAAGGCTGGACAAGGCGGGAGAAGGACCTAGACAGGCACCGCGTTGTGATTAAGGAGGACCAGAACAACAAACAGAACCTGGACACACTAAATTGAAGACGAGTTTTGGGTTAAAAACTTGAAACCCTGGAAGGAGGGGATAAAATGTCTGACGGACAAGTATCTGAGCTGTTCCTTCTGCTGTCTATTCAGATTATGTTTGCGCTGCATCCCCTTTCTTTCTGTTCAAAATTATCTTGACGATGTTTTATTCGTGTCGGGCTATGTCAAGACTGGTCGAGCATTTATTTCAGCCTTAGCTGGGCTAATAGAGTATATAGGTGTGTGAGGGTCTAGAACTCGGCATAGGGACCTGCAGCAGGCGCCTGCCCGCCCTATTTCAATGTGAATTTGCTTTCTGGTTTTCTGTCATTTCGCTAATCGGTCATCTTCCTTGCAAGTGTGAGTATGTGGGAAATAATTAGAAAGTAAACCCAGCAACCGAGCTTCGCACCAGGCGGCCTTTTTCCCAAAACCATGACACACCGCAAGGCTAGAGGCGGCCGAACAAGAGCACATCATTCGAACAGGAATGCCATCGTACAGACATACCAAACTCTCCTCTAGATTAACCAAGCGTCACACCAGACGGCCTTTCCCAAAAGCATGACACATTGTAAGAGCTCAGTCTGACAGTTGAAAGAGAACGGTTGAGTTTGAAAAGCGACAGATGAACAACAGTGAGGAGAAAGGAAGGGGACACAGCAGTTGATGACAAGGAGTGGCAACAGAGAGCGAAGGCTGAAGGGGATGGGAGAGGTGGGTGGGCAGACGGACAATACACAGTGCCCGAGCAAAAACCAACATGCCAAAGAACAACAACCCTAAAAATATGCAGGTACCAGAACAGGCAATGACTGAAAAAAAAAAACAAAAAAAAACCTGATGATAGATTGTTTCATCGGTTCACTGACTTGTCAGGAGGCTGGACCTTTGACAACTCCGGAATCTCCGTATTGATGGCGTGGGTCATGGATCCTTTTGACCAATGTTTACACAAGCGGAACACAGCAGCAGGGAAAGAACTCAGCGAAGCACGAGGCAACACTGCTGGACCAGCCGGACTGCACAGCTCTGAAAACGACTGCAAGGAACGACAGAGCAGTCATACTACACGACACACAAGCTGGGAACATGGAAGGCACGGCATGCAGGTAGGCTAGCGGACAAGCAGCAAGGCAACAATGGGGCGAAGCACGCGGCAGCACCAACACACAGCAACACTACACGGCACAAGCAAAGAGCAGGGAAGGCACGGCACGCTGATGGGCAGCAAGGCCGCAATGCAGCGAAGCACAGGGCAACACTAACACCACAACCACACCACACAGTGAACTCGGCAGCCTTGCAAAGAACTATACGCAACACAAGCAGGACAGGAACCAAGGCAGCAAGGCAGCGCAGACGAGGCAGTCTACGCATCCAACATGGAGCAAAGCGGCACATCACCTACTCGCATCACGATTGAACCCTGCAGACTGTTGGTTCCCACCACCTGCTGAGCCAGGGAGTCACCCAGACGAACATCTGTGATCACCCAGACCCAGACATCCCAAACCGAGTGGCCCCCCTAAGAGTGCTGTAGGCGCTCCAAAGAACGGACCATCCACTGTTTAGCACTTGTTGAGGGTGCCCACTCCAACAGAAAAAATTGGGGAAAGGAGAAAAAAATAAGACAACAGACAGACACACATAAACGTGATTGTGTGTGTGTGTGTGTGTGTGTGTGTGTGTGTGTGCATGTGTGTGTGTGTGTGTGTGTGTGTGTGTGTGTGTGTGTGTGNGAGAGAGAGAGAGAGAGAGAGAGAGAGAGAGAGAGAGAGAGAGAGAGAGAGAGAGAGAGAAGGTCGTGCCTGAAAGAAGCAGACAAAAGGTGTATACTGCGATGCTGTACCAAACAAATACCAGGAAGACGTTAAAAACCTCACCAATAGCTGAGATTGGGAGGACTTGTACTAGTACTGTAGCAGGTGGGAGGAGGGCACTCTGAGAGTCTGCTGACTGTCGAAATATTGTATAGTAATTTGGCAATAGTTATTAGTTTAGGAATCCTGAGCATGACTTGACTGCGCAAAAGTGATAGGCTTGGAGGGACAACCATAGTGCCAATCTTTTCTGCCTCTTTTCGAATGGGGCAGAGGGCTCGTAGTACCTACCACACTGCGCGCCTACCGGCAGAGGGGAAGGAGTCTACATCGATGGACTTCGAAACCAAGCATGTCGCATACTTGAGAGTGAAGGACGCTTCTTCGTGTGTTGTAAGCTTGGCGCTTCAAGCTGCGAAGACTCTGTGTGTTGTGCTTGGGCTTCAAGCTGCGAAATCTGTGTGTGTTGTGCTTGCATGATGATGTGTGTGCTTCGATGCTTCTGCAATGCGCTTGCTGTTGCTCTCTTCTTCCCGCTTGTACGCTTGACAAATGGGACGTATCCATTCAATGGAGCACTGATGACCGTAGTGCAAATCTTTTCTGTCTCTCTCTCTTACTTGGCTCAGATCCAATCTTTGGTCATTGGCCACCGAAAACTCTGCTGAGTGGAAAAGCACTGAAATCTTGCAAAGGAAAATTAACCTTTTTTTGTAGAGCACTGACGACCATAGTTCCAATTCATCAACAATGTCTTCCAATTCGCCCACTCGGAACTTAGCCGAATCGAGGATCTGAGCTTGTAAAGAAAAATGAATCTTTTTCCAATTCGTCAACGAATGTCTTCCGAATTCCAATTTGTTAACTCAAGACATCATGAAAAGTTTTTCGAAAAAATTGAATGAACCTCGCTTTTCCACTTATTCACATGGCAGAGTTTGTGTCCTTTTAGGTCTCATGATCTGCTTCACACAATTGTTCACCGGTACATTAGTTCACGATATTTAATTTAATATGTGCATATCGAGAAAGCTGTGGGCAACTCTGTGATGGTCTTTTCTTGGCAGTTGTTGGATTGTGTACATTGAATCTGGCTCATTGTGCGAAATGGCTGATTGCGTTTTCGGTTTGGTGATTGTTCAGAGGTGCTGATGACGCAGAAGCAGTTAACGAGGTGCTTCCGACGATAACGCTTCATTTGGGTGGCATTGATGTAGAAATTCGTCCAAGCGACTATACTTTGCGATGGAAGCCGGAGGTGGGTCTAACCGGGGAAAAAAAAAAAAAAAAAAAAGAACCATTTTTTGTACCGCCTTGTTCGTTGAATAGTTTGAATACATTTTGTTTCATTTATTTGTCTTTCACTTTTAAGGTTTTCATTAGTAAAGGAGCGACAAAGTTTGAGTTCTTGATGTGCGACTGTGAATTGTTTACACGCCTGTTCCCCTCCAGAGAGCTTACCTTCCCCGGAATTCTTACATGCTGGCTAAGAAACAGCCAGGCTTCACGTTGAAGGTGCCTAAGCTATAAGTCAGCTGGTGGTTTCTATGGCACGCGATGGGTCTGTTCATGGTGCCCCTTTGCAACACATACCAGAGAAAGTGTGTTGGATGCCAGGTCCCCGTCCATACAGCAGGTGGTCTGGTAGTCTGTAGCTTACTCTCCTCTTCAGTAGCCAGTATGATAGACATGCTCCAATCTATTCGTGGGGAGCAGCATGTGATGGGAATCGGGACCAGCGTCCCATATGGCTGGAAGAGTATACTCCAAGATCGTGAACGAACTAAGGATAGAGATGATGAGAAAACTACGAATCCTTTTTTTCGATTGCTAAACACCTCCTGAAACTCACAACAATTTTCCAAAATCATTCTTGACTTATTTGCACAATAGTCAAGATACAAAATTGGTATTGCGAAGTCGTGCTCTCCCTCAACTAACAGAAAAAGTATCGAAAGGATTTCCAGCAGATCATAACAAAGCCCATCAAAACTGACTTAATTCTCCAACAAACTCATCCAGGCCCCACCCCCCCTATCTGCTAGGTCACAGAGCAGCGCGACTCACTTCAGCTCCGCCCAGTGTCGTCCTGTGTCAGCAACCCCCAGCTGTCCCTTAGTATGCCCCCGCATAGCATCCCCAGATTTCTCTACAACGCCTCATGCCTTCACCTTCGACGAGTTGCAGGGCATCAACCCGGCTCCGGCCAGTGTCGTTCTGGCATTGAACAGCCACGGATCCTGAATATAACAGTCTAATTCCAGTGCAGCTTTGTACAAACCACCAGCAGACCCGCAGAGTCGTGATGAGAGATTCTTCAGACTACCAGGAATAACAAGGGTGTTTGTTTTGAAAAAATCCAGAAAAAATCAGGAAAATATCCCAACCAAATACAAGCAAAGGATATAGAAATTCCTCCCTTTCACCCTCGTCCCCCTGCCCCACCGCTGCCTCCACTGAAAAGAAGCTCCTGATCACGAACACTCCTCATCGGCCCCAACCTGGGACAGACCCATTCCCCCCCCCGCCCCCAACTCCCACAAAGTCATCCAGTTCCCACCCAAAATATGCCTCTGCCGACCCCTTGCCCTTATCTGCCACCGCTGGGCTATGATGCCGACCCATACATCTCCCCCAGCCCCAGAATAGAGCATCCCCCGGAATCTGCCCCGACTCCCTTCAGTGCTATCACCTCCCTCCTTGTGAAGCCCTTGCAGAGTAGTCCTCTCCCCCTCAGAACCAACCCACTACCCCACCAGAAATAATTTGTTTACGCTTAAGAGGAGAGTCAGAATTCCGGTCGTTGCTATGGATTATTACCCTCCTCAAACTCCCCCTGTCCCTCTGCCTCCACCGAAAGGACTGCCCTGATCAAAAGCTCTCTTTATCGGCCCCAACTTGGGACATACCTGCTTCCTCCCCCTACTTCCACTGAGGCATTCAGTTCCACCCAAAGTATGCCTCAGCCAACCCCCCACCCCTATCTGCCTCCGCTGGGATATGGTGCCAGCCCATACATCTCTCCCAGCCCCAGAATAGGGCAGCCCCCAAAATCTGCCCCCACTCCCTCCAGGGCATTTCATCCCCCACCTTGTGAAGCCCCTCCAGAGTAGATCTCTCCTCCTTAAAACTCCAACCCCCCACCCGAACAGAAAGAATTCGTTCATTAGTGCGCCCAAAGGGGAATCAGAAATTAACAGTGGAGAAAAGAAAAAACAAGGAGTTTAGGAAATAAAATTCCTAAGATATTAATGGAAGAATCGGAAATTTCTGAAAATTATGATGGAGAAGTAGATGAGATTTTTTCTTTTGGAGACGAGCAACACCATGATAATGATGATAATGGTGATGATAATGCCGAGCACCCCCGGCAGTGAACTAAGAAGACAGAATGATGATGATGATGATGATGATGATGATGATGATGATGATGATACTGAAGAGCAGCACCAACAGCGCCCTATGATTACAAGCTGATGATGATGATGATGATGAGGAGGAGGATATAATGACGCACAGCGCCCTGTGATGACAACGTGATGATGATGATGATGTTAATGACGAGCTCCTATGATGATGAGCTAGAGATGATGCTGATAAGGACGAGCAGCGCCCTATGATGATGACTTTCGCCAACGGAGCCCTGTGATGTCGAACTGATGATGATGGCAATACTGATGATGATACTGAACGTGATGATAACAATGATGATGACGAGCAGGTCCAGCCCTATGAAGACGAACTGGTGATGATGATGATGATCATGGAGAGCTGTGCTGACAACGCCCTATGATTACGAACTGATGATGATGCTGATAATGACGCTGATGAAATAATGAGCAACACCTTATGATGACAAACTGATGATGGTGATGATGTTGATGCTGATGATGTGTAGCACCCTAACGACAGGCAACGCCCTGCAATAATGGACTGATGATCATGATGACGATGGCAAGCAGCACCCTGTGAGACGAAATTCGCCAACAAACGTCCTATGATGACGAAGGAACCAGTGCCCTATGCTGACAAGCAGCGCTCTACAATGGCAAACTTACCTTGTTGATGATGATAGTGACGAGCAGCGCCCCTGATGCACGGCTCCCTGATACTGATGATGATAATAACAGCAGCGCCCTTGGTGAGGAGCAGCTGTTGCTGATGCCAAACAGCGCTCTCCTGAATGTGAAGACCTACGCCTTGACGATGATGACGAGCAGTGCCCTGATGACATTGATGATGATGACGAGGGCAGCACCCCGATGATAATGACGAACCATTACCTTGACGGTGATGTCATACCTCGCCCTGTTGATGATGATGATGGTGATCATCAGCACCCTGTTGTTCAGGATGACAAGCAGCACCCTGATTATGCTGACACACCCGCTTCCTTATGATGGCAGTTGCCACTGCTCTCACATTTACCAAGGGCCGACTCCACTGTACTCCGCAGGCGCCGACATAGCCAACGGCTCACAGGCCATATGCGACGTGCAACGGCACAGTGGCAACGGAGTGAAACGTGGAACTCCCGGAAGAAAAAAGCAACCGGGAGCTAGACCGTATGCCACGTCAGTGTGGTGTGGTCAAGCGCCTTCGATCACCTGCTCGCACGCTAAGCACCTGGTTTACAGAAGAGATGGCCACCATCGCCGCCGCGTGCCGTCCTTACGGCCCACCTGTGTGCTACCGCATCACGGGACGGGGCGCAGCCCCTCCAGTGCCCATGGTCACGCTGCCCCCCCCCCCCAGCATCCGCCTTGTATCATCATATGTGCAATGGTAATGTTTGTGGCTCTGACACAGTATGCAACTGCTACATTTGTAATGTAGTGGTGTGACTCGGATTTCTCTCTTGGATGTCTTCTTGGACAGCCCTGGGGTTTGAAAACTGAAAACCCTCAGCGGGGTTTCTTCTGTTTGATTAGACAACGATCGCGTAAAGTCTCTGAGGATCCCAAGCAGCTGGCGAGGGCTTATTAGCGGCTGTACTTCTTGGCTTCCTGCTGATAAGTTAACCTAATTGTGCAACCTGATGTACGTGTACTTCTTGGCTTCCTGCTGATAAGTTAACCTAATCGTTGCAACCTGATGTATGGGGACCCAACTCGGAGATCCTATAGGAACTGGGGAGGGGGAAACCAACTCCTGCAGGCAGGGAAGACGGTCATCAGTCATTCAAATTCCCTGGACGGTGAAAAGCGTCCGTCAGATAGGATCTGTGGATCTAATTGGTAGTAGTGGTGGGTTGGCATATGATGGAATACCGTGTACATCAGCACAGAGTGAGCTTCTATTTGCTGGGGTTTCAGTTGAGGCTGATGAGCCCTGTGATGATGTATCGTACTACGAGTTGTAGATCTTGACTAGTCGATCAGAATGTCGTTTCTTTTTTCGAAGATTATTTATACAAAAGACGCCCTTCGAAGTTACTTATAGAAAAAAGACCCCCAACTCTTTCTTCTAAGAAATTCAATCCTATGGTTCCATCTGGATTCGAACTCAGGTCTGCATTTTGGCAGTTTATGGGTGTACCAACCGAGCTAGGCCCGATGGTGAAAGCCTGGGACCCATATTACCCATAGACATAATTTATGTTCTTTTTTTGTTCTCCTGTCGGTCTTTTCACTGAAAGCACATGGTTGGTATTGAGGCGGCGAAAAAAAAAAAGAGGTGAAAAAAAAAGGCCATTCTTGTTCCAGTCCGAGTATGCAAGATCATTTGAGGGTGAAATGCGACCCGGCGACCCGTACTGAAGTTATGTGACGGTCTTGTTCTTTCCTTTCCAGGAGGGTCTCCTTCGACCGTGCGTCTTTCTCATGGCAGACGAGCAGTGCGTGATTGGCGGTGAGTAAATTGCGCAAGAAAACCTGAGGGTTTGATGAACTTTGATCTCTGTTCCGTTGCTTTGAAGTTTAAACTTTGAACTACTTTTACTTTGAACTAAGTGATTGTGGAGTCGCTGTTTCTCTGTCCCACCCTTCTCGTAAGTAATCTTTTAGCGTGACTGATTATGGAACCTGTCGTTATTTCAGTGAGATTGAGAGATTACATGCGCAGATCACCGCGTGTCTTTCTCACACCAGATGAGTGGTGGCAGATTGGTGGTGAGCTTTCTTTCTTTTTTATTTATTATTTTTTTTAAATTATTTTTATTATTATTATTATTATTTTTATTTTTTTTTATTGTTTTATTTTTTTTTATTTTCTCAAGGGTTAAAATCTATGTTCCGCTGGTTCCAAACTACTGTTCGTTTGTTCTCTGGGACATCCGTTAAAACTGTAATGGTACACAGAAGATTAACATGGCCCCTGCGTGGGGATGAGATGCATAAAGCAATAAATGGTCCTAAGGAGAAAGAAAAGGCACTATTTGTTTGAGCCAATTGTGGAAGTGCTGTGTCTCTATCCCGCCCTTCGGATTCTTTTTATTTGAAAATGAATTATTGTCAAACTCCTGTTCATCGCAGCAAATATGGGAAACCACGCGCTCGGATCTGAACTTCTGTGGTGGCAAATCTGATTTATCATCAATTGAGAGAGAGAGAGAGAGAGAGACGTAACTGTTTGTTTATGAGAGAGAGAGAGAGGCGTAACTGTTTGTTTATGAGAGAGAGAGAGACATAACTGTTTGTTTATGAGAGAGAGAGAGAGACGCAACTGTTTGTTTANGGCGTAACTGTTTGTTTATGAGAGAGAGAGAGACATAACTGTTTGTTTATGAGAGAGAGAGAGAGACGCAACTGTTTGTTTAGAGAGAGAGAGAGAGAGAGAGAGAGAGAGAGAGAGAGAGAGAGATGTAACTGTTTGTTTATGTGTTGTCATAATTGGATTGACACTAGGTGGCCAGAACTTGTTATCTTGACGTGACAGTTGCTTGTCCTTATGCATTGATCATTTTTGCAGTGAGCGTAATGCGAAACTATCTGGTTATTTATGACATGGAGAATTCGGCTGCTGGTGGCCTTGGACGGCTCGGTTGGAAAAGATCGTACTGTGAGACAGGTCGAGGGACTATTGTGAATTCTCCAGAAGTTCAGTCAGACTCTTGCCATTAAGATTAGGTATGCACGGCCAGAAACTCTTTCCGTCAATGGTGTATATTCACAATAAACTTGAATAAAATTGAATAAACCGTTTTTTTTTACTCCTTTTTTTAATCTGTGGGTTTAATTTTGGTCAGCTACATCCTGGGCTAGTTGTAGTTTCAGTCGGAAGCATTGCAAAAGCCCTGGCGTGAACTCGTAGTCGCACTAGGAACTATCTTAAATGTGTCTGACCGCAATTACGGCCGGCCGTCGATGCATCTGACTGCTATCGTGTCTAGATTCTAGACCTCAGTCTGAAATGTCCTAGTGTGAGTATGCATTGAGTGTTCTCTGTGTGTTGGACATTATACTTACTATTCAACACCACATGAATTATCCCGGCGAACAGATTGGAGTACCGTCTCATAAATTAAAAACAAAAAACAAAAAACAAAAAACAAACAACAAACAAACCTGTGCCCCTGTATTCTGAGATGCACACACAGACACACACAGGCATCTGGACTGACAGTCTGCACACGAGGGGTGAAGTCAATAAGTCAACCACTTTTCTCAGGGGTGTCACTAACTCTGGCCGAGGTCGACGTGGTGAGTCCTTTTTTTGTTGAATTATAAAACAAAATGCAGGCTTATCTTCTCCTCTTATGAGTGGCAGCTGCATTTTTTGTTATTAGCCTATTTTCTTCTCTAATGTTTGTATCTAACACTACTTACCTTGGGCAAGCAAGGGACCATCCACATCCACCCCCCAGACAAAATCCCAGAACACAATTTATCTGATGACATGCAACCACTCGGGATCGGATACCAACTCGAAGGTGCAACGTTTAGTCCTTCTGGAGAGGGCCAGGAGATCAGATGGAACAAACCTACCTGTGGAAGGTGAAACGAAACTTGAGAGCCCTCCAGAAGGACTACCTAAAGCCCTCCAGAAGGACTACTTAAATCCCTCCAGAAGGACTAATTAAACCACCAGTACTTGGGCGACGCCTTAGCGTTAACGCTACGCGATTTCAGCGGCCGGCGGGCCGTCGATAAATCGAATCGACAGCCCGCGCTGTTTCGAGATTTGGGCGGCCGGCGCGGCGCGCAGTGCCCAAGTACTGGTGGTTTAAAGCTCTCCAAAAGGACTACTTAAAGCTCTCCAGAAGGGACTACTTGAAGCCCTCCAGGAGCCATACTGGGCTATCGAAATTCGATGGCTGATTTATTGCGAGTACTCCAGCACATCTCAAATGAAGAGCTTCTGCCTGAAGGCCTCACTTTGGGAATGTTTTTTTTTTTTGTTTTTTTTTTTTTTTTGTTCTTTCCTTTTTCTTTTTTGTTGTCCTGCTGTTTGGAACAATTTCTTCCTTCGTTTTTAGAAAGATTCTTTTGAAATTCGCTCAGGCTATAGAGGATAGACTCGTTGCGAAAGTATTGTAGCCTTTTAGGATTCAATCTCAAAGAGCAGGAGCGCTAAGCACTGCATGAATAATCTGTTGGCTTTGTGCTTGTACCTGATCTGATTCCTGGAATGGTACATTTGCAGCCATCTTCCTTGAAATGAATAGCCTTTACGTGCTCGTGCGCGCGCACTATTGTGAACTGTCATGGCAGAGTCCATTTTGCAAAAAGCAGCGGTGGTCAGCTGGACGCACTGTATTCTAATCGGCTGTGTGCACGTCATGGGATTTGTGTTTTTGTGTATTCCACAGCCTTCAGGAAATATTATTATACGCACAACAGTCCTCGAAAGGTCGGGCGGCGAATGTGAGGAAGCAGGGTCGGCAATTGTATCATGGCATCTGGCAGATAAGCAGAGTGACTGGAAGAAGACCCAGTCTCACACAACTCAACTACTGTAGGCAGTTTTGCTCATCAATTAGGGAAGCCTGTGGGGGTTAGTGTATTATTGGTAGTTGTTTTACACGTAACATATTGATGCCAGTTATAGCAGAAGAGGGGACAGGCTTTTCACTCTTTGACGAGAACCTCTATACGCAACCCAAACATCGGCCCTTCTGGCACTAGGTAGGTAGGTAGTGTGGGTGGGTGGGTGGGTGGGTGGGTGGGTGTGTGCGTGTGTGTGTGAGAGAAAGAGAGAGGTAGTTCGTGAGAGGGGGTAGAGAGAGAGGTAGTTCGTGTGTGTGTGTGTGTGTGAGAGAGAGAGAGAGAGAAAGAGAGAGAGAGAGAGAGAGAGAGAGAGAGAGAGAGAAGAGAAGGTGTAGTTTGTGAGAGAGGAAGAGAGGGAGAGGTACTTCGTGGGAGAGAGAGAGAGGTAGTTTGTGTGTGTGTGTGTGAGAGAGAGCGGGGAGAGAGAGGGGAGAGAGAGAGAGAGAGAGAGAAGAGAAGGGGTAGTTTG